ACTCTTTTCAACATTAGGTTTCAGAGTTAAATATTTCTCCTTTAACATCATTTCAATACACCTATAAACCTCTGTTTGAGCAATATTTACAGCACTTGTTTCTGTACCATAAACCAGTGATTCTCAACTGGTCTAGGACCTACCATCAACCCCTTCATAACCCATATTGCAGATATTTTTTAACCAATCAGATTGGTTTAATCATGGAAAATTGTGCAGTTTGGACTTCAGACAGAACAAAACAGGTGAGAGGAAAAAAGAAACAGAACAAAAGAAACTTCATTAAGTGCTTCATTAACTTCTTGAAACAATTTATTTTTCCAGGCACATCTTTTGACCCTCTAAAAATGGCTCTGCAATTTAGGAACATTTCAAAAGCAGGATGTCCTGACATTTTCTAGAAATGTTCAGGAGTGCATGTGTGAACACAGCTTTGTTTCAGTGTTTCTGAACAAGGAATATAACTCAATAAATGACAGTATATCTTACTTCAGCATGCATACAGACACATGTCAGTGGCAGAAATGTCAAACACCTTATTCCTAGTCCAAGTAGTGTCATCTTTCCAAAGTATTAGAGCTGCTTGTGACCGTGTCCTGTACTTATCTTCTGTGTCCTTGCAGTCGTGTGGTGGATGACAGCTGAACAGGCTCAGAGAGGTAAGATATCCTGCAGACAAAACACTGAGAGCAAGTATGTGAGGGATACAGGAGCCTAATCCCTGCCTAGAAGCATTTCCTCACTGTGTAACATTTTACTTTCTGCATCTAAAGTTTCAGATAATCCCCTCACAGTGACGAACATTAACCCCCCTCCTCTTTCTGCAGGTCAAAGCCTTTGTGGTCGACGACATTCCTCTCTAGTATCCTTTAAACTGAAGTTTAAAACTCATGTTTCATAAATATGTCTTCTTCATGAATTTTACTTTTCTAGTATTCCTTCTTTCAATCCTTGACCGTCTGCACCTCAGCCATAACCTGGTGATGAAGCACATTGCCGGGGCCGACCCTGAGCTCGTCCTTCTCAACCACTACCATGAAGAGCTGGATGTAAGTCTTTGTTTCGCGTCACATTTAAAGCTAATGTGAGGTGTTTTTAGCAGGTTATGAAACAGACTGAAATGAATATTGATGTCCCTCTGCAAGATACAAAAACAACAGAGAGAGAGACTCCAGATCCAAACTCCATAGACATAACATTTTCTGTCTCGGCTTCACTAAAACTGATAAAAAAGAGGCAAACATTCAACAAAAAAATCCTTTTTAAAAACATCACCTCCCAATGCAGACAAGCTCACACTGCTGCACCTTACGTCCATCTGTGTGTGTGTTATGTCTTACACTGACAGTAGATTGTGTTAACCCTGGAGTCATATGTCACCTCTGTGTCCTCTCTAGCGGATCGCTCTGTCGGACATGACCCGCTCGGAGATCAACGAGCTGCTCGGGAAGCTCGGCTTCTACAAGAAGGCTCAGGCCCAGGAGGAGGTGCCTGAGGAGTTCCGCTTCTCTCCAGCTAAAGACAGCCCGTTTAAAGACAAGCCGCAGCACAAACCGGCTGCAGAGAGCAAACCATCAGAACCGGCCTCAGAGGCCCAGCGCACAGATCTATAACTTACCAGAGAGGAGGAAAGTAGGAATCTCACAGAACCACTCAGCCACCAAAAAGCTGCTCCATGATCTGCTGGTTTCTGCAGTTTATGACGGCGATGTTTGTCATTTTTAAAAACTAGCCCCAGCAGATCATGCATCAGCTTCTGGGCATGGACAGAATGTTAGCATCAGCAGAAGGCCTTGAAAAGGTCCATAGTCTGAATTTGCACATCTCTTGTTGCTGTTTGTTCTTTGTTTCGCAGAGTTAATACTCCAACAAGCCACTTTGTGAGTGCTTTTCTACTCCCCCCCCCCGACACAGAGACTGGAAGTGTGTGTGTGTGTTTTGATTTTTTGTGTCTTCAGGAATCTCATCCTCACTTTGACTTCTCTAGTGTGTCTGAATGTTTCCCGCCTTGCTCCGAAACTGAATGAAGCCTCAGGCTGAAAACTGTCTGACAGGCCTGAGGTTGATGTAACGTGTTCCGGCAGGTGGGATTGATGCACACAAGAGGAGTCGGGTCGAAGGCTTGTGAAAGTGGGAAATAATAAAACGAAAAAAATGTCAAATAACTCTGATCCTTGCTGTGTTGATTTTTTTTTTTTTTTTTGCCTCAGTGTTTCCCTTTCACCTCTGAAGAGCACATGTAGATTTTTTAGGGAGCTTCTTGTCACGTTTATTTGTGCATCCTCACATCCTCTAATAACCCGAAAAGCTTAAACTGGCACATTCAGTCTGATCAATCCCCATCCGGTCTCATAACTCCTTTACATCCTGTACATTTGTGTTTTTTGTGTTAATTTATTGTTGTTTTTTATCTCTGCTTTGTAAGGTGACCTTGAGAGTTTTGAAAGGTGCCTTTAAATAAAATATAATTTATTATTCCACTACAGGTTGTAACATGTGGCTGCTAATATCAGCTACACAATGGAATACTATTATTAATAAAAATTGTAAAAAAAAAGGGCTGGGCCTAAGATTGAACCTTGTGGAACACCCTTTGTGATCGGAAGAAACTCAGAGTGGATGATTCCCAGGTTTACTGATTGCCGTCGATTGGTTTGGCAGTTCAAAAACCATGCACACGCACTTGCACTAAAACCAATCAAACTAAGAATTTGCAAAAGCAATGAATAGTCAACAGTCTCTCTCTCTCTGTCTGTCCCTGAGTTCTGACCCTATCCCCTGTTCTATCTCTAAAATAAAAGCATAAAAAGCCCAAAATTAAATCTTTAAAAAAATTGTTGGCTATCACTAATAACTCTGATCTGTACGTACAAGAGAAGATTTTAAAGGAAGATTAAATCAGAGGTAATGTCACTAATAATCAGCTCTGTTAAACATTTCACAAATCTCAATAAAAAAAGGTTTCTCGATAAAACACAAAAGGTAATTGTGCCCTGATGAAAGGATAAGCGCTCAGTGAAGACATAATGCCCCTATACCCTACTGATGCTCCTTATTTGCCACCTCTACCAAAACAGCGTCATCACCTTCATACCCATGATGCCCCTAGACAGAGATGGGCTACTATTGCTGTTGTTTTGGGCTTGATTTTTGTATTTCTCCCCTTTTTAATTACTGAGCCCGTCGACTATGCAACATTTAAAGTGACAGCGACTGCACTAGGGGCCCCCTGAGTCCCTGGGCCACTGGGCCTGGTAGGCCCGTGCAGTAATCCAGCCTTGACCACCTTCAACAGACCCAGGCTGGGTTGATGAGCGCTCCAGGTAGTGACGATGTCGATACTACTCCCCTACCACACATGGCCCCTTCTGTTACCCCGCAAGTCAACCGTGTAGACTAATGGACTTTTAACATGACTGAGATACTCATCCATCCGTCTGTGTGTGAAGGGCACTTGAAGTTTTGAGTTACGTTTTCAATGAGGGGTTCCCTGAGACAGCTGTGCAGCTCATCAGCAGGCGACGTGGCAGCTCTTCAGACTGACGCTGTGGAACGAAGGACTTCACATTTGGCTGATTTGCCTCCTCTGTCTTCGCTTCTGTCCTTCATTCCTCTCACTGGGAGGAACTCAAGACACGAGGGAACACATTCTTGAATTGAAAAGGTCCCTCCTTAAGCCTTAAAAAGGACATATTATCCCCCCTCCTCCACCTTCTCAAACAGTCCCCCTGTGGTCTAAATGAAACATCTGTGCTGTGCTTTGTTCAGAATATAACCAAGCACCAGAGGAGGTTTGTGACCCTGTATAAACCAGCTCTCTCAGAATGCTCCGTTTTGGTGTGTGTGTCTCTTTAAATGCAATGACCCCCCCCTGAGTTTTCCCCGTAGACATCACTCCTCTGTAGAGAGAATAAAAAATGGCCGACATGCGCAAAAGTTTTGCTCTAGGCTGGGGGTGGAGTCCATGGGTGGAGATACCAGGGGAGGGGATTTTTTTTTTTTAACCAGAATCCCACTGTGACATCAAAAGGGGGAGCAAATTTGAAACGGAGCAGCTAGTTTGTTAATCGATGCGCTCGCCCGGGCTTCGCTCCTGAGCGTCTTGTGAAATAAGACATGCCCTGCACCCCATCACCCCCACTTAGGTCCTGTGAAGAGTCGCTTCTTGTAGTCCCTCGAGCTCAGCGAAAAACTCAGAGGCGACCGTGCCTTCTCATTGGCCGGCCCCCGTCTGTGGAATCAGCTGCCTCCCTCCATCAGACAAATCAACTCGTTAAATTCATTCAAATCAAAACTCACCTCTTTTCCCTGGCATTTAAAACAAGTTGAAACAGACCCCATATATTGACCTTAGGTATGTATCTGTATGTATGCATGTGCATGTAGGTATGAGGGTATGTATGTGTTTGTAATATATATATATATGCATTTTTCTTTCTTTTTATGCATTTCCTGTAAAGAACTTTGGTCAGATGATGTTTTTAAATGTGCTATACAAATAAACTTGACTTGATTATCTTCTTCATTTATGGAAGATGTATTTCTCATTCAACAATGGTCTTCATCACTTTCATCCAAGATTCAAATAATCGTCCATAAATTTCCATCTAATGATTCACATTAACTCTGTGTTACCTCGTGTGCCGTAGCAGTCAAATTAGTGTTTGTGCTCTTTGTCTAGCAACACCCGACACCCCTTCTTCGATGGATTTTAACACCCCAGTGAAAGTTCCTCTATGAAGAGTATGACCTGAGCCCAAAGGTGACACCTGCTGGAGCCATTTGTGTGTCACACTTCATAACTCAAAAATGTTCTCCTACAATTAGTGTCTTCATTTCTGACAGGAAGTTATTATCCCATCTGCTCTTTTGTAAAGCGTCTCGCGTCTTTACAAAATCATGATCCAACTCATGATTGACTGATTGAAGAGTGAGTGAATGAAAGCACGAGTGACACTTACGATGACTCGGATTCAGAGCAATAAACCACCACACAGCGGTTTCCTTTCTCAGATAGCTTTTAATCTTCATTCACATTGAACTGCGGTGCACAGAAACATGAAGTCATAATGTGTTGAAGCTCTTATATACAGCACTCACTGCTCCGTGGAAGGATTTGGTTTTCTCAGTTGGCAGCGGTGGAATAAATCTCAAAATAATTCCTCTAATTCATCTAAAAGCAGAACTTTTTTTTGTAAATAAATCAGTTCTGACAGGATCAGAATTTAAACATCTTTTTCAAAAGGAACCTTAACTTTACAAGCAGAATAAAAATCTTCAGTTAAAAACTCTCCTTAGCTTTATGTCCTAAAATATACAACAAGGCGGCTCACGTTTTATCTGCTTCACAAAACATTGAGCTCCCCGACTCACTTTAAATCGAACTTTAAGAAGCATAATATACACTAACAAAAATACAAAATATTATATTTAAAAAAAACAAACATCTAGTCAAGCATTAGCAGGGAGCGCTCTAACAGAGCTGTGTGTGAGTGCGCCTGGCAGGGCGGGGGCGTGATGCTGATGCTTGTACACATAAAGTCAAGTAGTAAGAAACTGAAGGAATGATGCAGTTCAGCTGTATGGCCGACTGCAATCCACTCGTGTTGTTCCTTTAAACCTGAATTTAAAAAAAATAAAACCTGCCGGACTACAGGCATGTCCTCCAAACGATACAGTAACACAGGAGGGTCCAAATGTTAGAGACATGATCTCAGCATCACTGTGAGGTTCAGAGAGGAAACATAACTCAGAGGATTGTATCATTTAAACAAGTGGTTCTCAACTGGTGGGTCGGGGCTCAAAAGTGGTTCACGGAGCAGTCTCAAATCAATGCCTGGAAAACTGTTTGTGTGAAACCCGTTTCTTTGATCTGTTGCAGGTTTTTAACCCTCTGAGGTCGTGTGACTGCACAGTTTTTCTATTGAATAAATCTGTTTTGTTGAAAATATCAGACATTTGGGGTCTTGGCTTTTGGTTCAAGCTTCAACCATCCACCATGTATCCCTAAAATGTCCTGAATCAAAATGATTTGAAATTCAAGTTTCTGGTGCGTTGATGCTTTCATCGTAGTTAAGTGAGTTGAAAAGAGGTCTTGGATGGACCAACTGGTTGTCACCCTGTTTTCCACCAAATATAAACAATGCAATCCTGTGTAGTGCTCCCTGCGTACAGAACAAATTCAAATCACCCCTCATGTTGGTGGTGCGTCCTGAGACCAGACCAGTTGAGAACCATAAAAAGAACATCCCTGTGCTCGTGTGTTACATAGTAAAATGAAATCCATTACATCCTATAATAACTTAGTTGAAATACTTAAATTACTCCACGTTTGGTAAGAAAGAAATAGTACCAGAATGACCAGATGGTTTATGTTTGTCTGGATTTTCTTTGTTAAAAAACTGTTATCAAGTTACAATAATTACAGAAGTGTAGAAAGAAAGTTTAAATAACTTAAAAAGGGGAAATACTATAAAAAATATTTCTCTTTTTTCTCTTCTGATGTGTTTCCCCGTACACTAGCGTCGTGACACAGCATGTTAAATATCACCTGGTACAAAGATGAGTTTAAAAAAAAAAAAAAGTGTAAAATGTTAAAGCTTAGAAAACTTCAGGCGCTCTGTCGGTGGAGAGACGTGGTCTGTGTGCGAACAAAAGAGCTGAAATAATGAATACACATCACCACTACCAACAAACACACACACACACACACACACAACATCGCAAACTGGTCCATCAGAGATTTGCGACTGCGTCAAGCAGCCAATCAGGGCGCAGGGCTGTCATCAGGTGAAGATGAAGGTGGAGGCTGGAAGGGGGGGGGCAACGCTTACTGTACACAGTTCAAAGATCACAGGGCCGACCCATGGACATCTCGTACCTGCGCAGGTGGTTGACCAGGGACTGGACGTAGGTGAAGACACACTTGGAGTCGGGTTTGTTTCCCATGATCATCATGTCCTCCACCTCCAGCAGAGGCATGCAGTTAGCGTAGGTCCTGAAGAGGAGGAGGACAACAGACAGCACGTGTGAGGAGGAGGAGGAGGAAGAGGAGGAGGAGGAGGAGGAGGAGGAGGAGGCAGGAGAGGGGAGAGAGGACCAGAACAGAGGAAGGAAGGAGGAGATTCTTTAGGTGTTATATTTAACCATCAGTCAGATTAATCAACCAAACTGTTTCGGTTCATTCAGACCAAAACCTGTCGCCATAGTAACAGCTTCTTCCTGTCTGCTGCCAGCTTCAACAGTGATACCCCCCCCTTCCCCCCTACATGACACAGACTTTATCCAGCCCCAGAGTCACTTAACATTACTTTAATCTTAAACCTTTTATGAGTTACACTGTTTGCAGTCACCATCATCCTGCACATCTCCTCACATGCACCTCTCTCTGCTTCTACACTGTTATATTAGATATTCTTTATCTTCTTCTATTTCAGTTCCTACACAGTGTAAGTTATGTTATTTAAAGGTCCCATATTATGATTTTTCTGGTTTTTATGT